ATAATAGTAAAAATAAAAAACAAAAAAGATATTTATTTATTTAATAATATATTGATACAAAATTTTTTTTATATCATTATTAGGCTCAATACCATTTTCTAACATTTCATCATAAATTTTTTTTGCTTTTTCATTTTCTCTAATACTAATATAGCCTTTAATTAAAGATGCGTAAGTATGTATATTTGGCTTTACATTACATGATTTCATTAAGTTAAAGATTTTTAAAGAATTTTCTAATTTACCCAAATTAGCAAAACCCTCTATTAATTTTGTGAATGTTATAGTATTTGGTTTGATTTTGTATTTTAACATCGCCTGAAATATTTCTAATGATTTTTGCATATCACCAAATCTTAATGAAAATATTGATATAAACATGGTGAATGAACAAACATCAGTTTTTGAATCAATGTCTTTATGTGCTAATGCTGAATTGTCATTGGTGTTATTGTATTTATTTTTAAAATTTAATTTTATGAAATTTTTATATAATTCATATACAGTATCAACATTATGAATATTTTTAATTAAATCTAAACGATATATTGCATCTTTAATTTTCTGAGGAGTTCTTGGAAAAAGATAATTATCATCATTGATATGTTTTAACACTTTATAAGTTGCTCTTTCAGGTTTAATTCCTTCTTTAATCATCTGATACCAAACTTGCTCAGCTTTTTCTAAATTTTTTGTTTTAACTAATGCTTTGATTAAACTTGTATAAGTTTTAACATTTGGTTTAATGTTATATTTATTTGTCATTATATTAAAATATTCTAAGGCCTTTTCTAGCTCTCCTGACATACCAAATCCTTCAATTAATATTGTGAATGTTACAACATTTGGCGAAATATTATATTTTAACATTGTTTCATATACTTTTATTGCCATGGGCATGTTTTCATATCTATATGCAAATTCTGTAATAAATATTGTAAATATATGTGCATCTGGTATTAATTTTACTATTTTATTATTATTTTTTAATTTGACTTTTACTATTGTAACTTCTTTTTGTTGATTGGTTTCTATTTTCTTTAAAAAATCTAGATATATTTTATATGATGAATTGAAATCTTTGGATTGTTTTAATTTAAATTGTAACAGAATGGTTAAAAATCTTATATTTGGTACCACTACTACCCCTACTTCTACTTCTTCTTCTACCGCAGCAGCAGGTGATAAAACACCTACATCAACAACTAATAAAACAAATTTAATTTCATTGTCATCATCATTGTCATCATCAACATCTGGTAATCTATTTTTTAAAATGTTTACATTTATGCTAATTTAATTGTAAATTGAGTTATAACACTTGATGCTATTTTTTATAGCACCCAATACTTTGAATATTTCAAAAGATACAACAGAAACGCCTAAAACAGCATCAACAACACCGACCTCATTATTTCCTTCATTTTCAGCAACCACAAAACCTCTTACAACACCTTCAACACCTTCAACATCTGCAACAAGATTTTCTATTCCTTCAACCACTAAACCAAGCATTCCTTCTATTAATTCCACTACCACCACCGCTACTACTACACCATCAATTAAATTATCTACACCAGTTACCACAAGTACAACCATACCTTCATTATTATCTACAACTACAACATCAACAACAAAACCTACCACAACTACAGCTTCAACCTCGTTATCAATACCCTCTACAACAAAAACTGCTACTGATCAAATACCTGCATGGTTAAAAAACAACAATATAGAAGGAATCATTGATAAATGGACAAAAGATCTCGACAATTGCACCAAAAAATTTAATGGTCAAGTAAAAGAAGTTCATCAATTAGACCAAAGAGTTATTGAAATTAATGGAAAGGTAATTAATTAATTAATCAATTAAATTATTATTTATTTATTGTATTTTTTTTCTAAATAAATTAAATATATACATTGGTATGTATACTTGTAGGTAATGCTGCTTAATGATAAAATTAACGAGGCTAAAATTATACAGAATGAAATTAATGCGTTTTTAGATGAAACAGATAATAAGCAAAAGGTTTTAGAAAAGGTTTTAGATGATTTTGAAAAACTTTTTGATGAATCTATTTGGGAAAATATGAATCCATTTGATAAAGAGAGAGAAGAAACGTAAGAAAAAATATTAAAATGTTTTTAATGAGAAAAACATTCATTAAATAACTAATCAAAAAATCTTTTTTATTTCTTTTTGAAAAGGTATAAAATAACTGAATATGTAAATCAAAATTTAGATATTATGAGTCAAGACTTGTTTACATTAATTAATGAAATCAACACAAATCAATCATCATCATCTACTAGTTTTACCACTGCACCAGCAGGTGATGGTAATGATGATGGGATGATTGAAGACATTGAAGATGATCCAGTAATTTTAATATTTTTTAAATTATGATTTATATTTTTTATATTTACATTATTACACATATATTTATATAAAATGCTTTTTTATCATTGACATTAATTAGATTGAAGAAGTTGGGAAGATACTCAACTCACATTTAATATCACTACAGTGGATTGATTCATCAGCTAATCAACTTTCTTCACTTATTCAAGAAGCACAAAGTTATTTTGAGAAAACTGTATAGTAAGCAGGTCATTTGTCTGGAATGGATCAAGAATCAGCACTTTTCTTTATTATCAAATTGTAGCAAATAATTTTTTCTAAGCTAGTAACAATAAAAAAATGATTGTACAAATACTATATAATCTGAAATAGCATTAAAGTTCATACTCATAAATTTGATACAATTCCTAACCAATGTTTTGTCAGATGGAATAAATGTTTTTAAGAGATTACTTATTTATCTCTTCAAGTATAGCATCTAATCCCTGATACTGACTCAACTAAGGTTGCCTGTCAAAATCTGTTTAGCCTGATGCTGAAAGGTAAAACCTCCTACATAATGCCAAAAATACCAAAAATACCAAAAATGCCAAAATGTCAGACAAAAATGCCAAAAAATGCCGAAACTGTCCAAAATGTCAAAAATCCAAAACCTACCAAAAATGTCAAAAATGTCAAAAATCCCAAAACTGTTGAAATATCAAAATTGCTGAAATGCCAAAACTGTCAAGAATGCCAAAAATGGCATCTACCGATTTAATTATATAATATGTAAAAATTGTATTGCACAATTGTAAATTAATTAGATTATTAAATAACCCAAAAAAAAACATATATATATTTTTTATTCTAAACACATTGATAATAATTATTAATTAAACAATGCAAAAAAATAAAAATATTTACCTCAAAAATCTAGTCACATTATTTTCTATTAAAATGCTATATATATATATATATATATACATATACATACATATATATACATAAATTTATGTATAATGAAGGTGAATTTTGAAAAAAAAAATTATATTTACACCTCTTTACTAACAAATTCACCTAATAAATCATCTATATTGTAATCTAAAATTCCTTATTGGTCATATTGACATTTTCATATTCATCAATATCACTATTGTCATAATATCATCCAATACATCTTCTGGATATTGCAATTTCCTTGATTATTAAATTATGTAACGGGTCCACGAATTTTTCAATCCATACACTTTCAATCAAAATGATACAATTATCACTATTTATGAAAAAGGAAATCTCGCCTTCACCTTCATTGTCATTATCATCTGTTTCAGCAAATGTTTCTGAAATAGATATATCTATTTCAGCATCACTTAGACATGTTTCTTCTTATTATTTAATTCATAAAATCCAAGTTCTGTCTTTGCATTGGATTTCCAGTACATGATCATTTTAGACATGGATTCTAGTCATTGTAAATTGAGATTCAAATGACATTTATGAAACAGCCATCCAAGCATAGAAAATCCACATTCACAACTTGCAGAAATTGGGCATATTGAAAACAGATGACATGTTAATGTTGGAAAAGTATCTGGTTGTGAATCTGTGTCAATAAGATTCCACCAGCTTCTAGGGTCTTCTGAACAGCAAACAATATCAAGGTCAAATGGCTCTTCATGATCCTTATATTTTCGTAACTGCACACACAAGATTTTTGACTCATGGAGGTCAAATTCTAACCTTTTCCCAATTGTCATTGCACATTTGACAACCTTTGCATATGCTCCTTTTTTGAGAGGTATATTCCTAAAATGGGGATCTAAAAAAAGCATGTAAGGTACTTGTCATCATCAAACTCTTTGGATCTTTCATTCATTACTTTAAAACAATGATTACAGAATGTTTGGTTGAATGATTTTGGTAATTTTTTTAAAACTGCTGCCAATCATACCAAGTTTAAAAAACAGTTGAAAAGTGTTACTGATCTTGACTCTAAAGCTAACACTGGTTTTCTTAAAGGGTCCAAAAAATTGACAATTTTTCTCCATCTGATTGCTTAGTATCTGAATCAAGTTATTGATTGTGATTCTTTATGCTCATTGATGTTTGAATGTTCTTTGATTTTATCTAACCTAAAAGCATCTGTACCTCTTGAAAATTTTGACATTCCATCTCTGTTTCTACAAAGTTTACAAAAAATTAATATATATCTATTGAACCAACTTTTATTCTATAATGTGATCTTTCTTTTATTTGTTGTAATTCACCAATTTCATCACTATTTATTTAATTCATCATCTGATGATTCAATAAGTTCTATTGTTCGAATTGAAATATTAACTCTTTTCAGGCATTTTATTTTTTTTAGAGTTGGAGTTTTTCTTTTTCAGACTAAGATCTATTTGGGTTAACATTTTTATTTTTATTTTTTTGTTTGCAAATAAATTATGCAAAGTATAAGAATGAAGTCAAGACAATAATAAAATCAAAAATGAAGATAGTATTGTTAAAGAAACATGATTGGCTAAGTTTCAAAATACCTAATTCCAAACAATATTTTCTTGGATAATATTGGGAGCCATTTGATAAAATATAAATAGCAATAAAATAATATTAAAGACTGTTTCAGCCATGATTTGATATTTTTAATTACACGGATTTTTGCACAAATCCTTAGTCACACGCGGTCTTTCCAAAAAATGGAATTCACGTGATTTTGGTGTAATTATAATATAAAATTATTATTAATATTAATTCCAACAAAGATGACAGCGAAGTTAAGACCAACCATAAAAAGATTTAATTCATTACTGAATGGATATTTAAAAAATAATTCAATTGAAGACGTAGAAGAAATATTTAAAGTTAGATATGTTAAAGGTTGACGGTTGAGATGATGTAGAAAATAAAGATGTTGGTTGCTGCTGTTGTGACTGTTGTTGTTGTTGTTGTTGTTGTTGTTGTTGTTGTTGTTGTTGTTGTTGAGAAGTTGAAGCTGAAGGTGTTGCTGCTGCTGCTGCTGTTGTTGTTGGTGTTGTTGTTGTTGGTGTTGTTGTTGTTGTTGAAAGACCTCCGATTCTTGAGAATAGGCTTTGTCCTTGAGTTTTTGGTGTGGAAAGTCCAGAAAACATTGAAGGTGCAGCAGTGGTGGTTGTATTATTAGAAGCAGGAGCATTAGTGGTATTTGTACTGCTTGATTGGGAAGCTGATTTTATTACATTAGTATCAGCAGCAGCAGTTGTGGTAGAAGTTGGAGTGGTTATTCCAAATAAAGGAAATTTTGGGGGAGCTGTGGTGGTGGGTGTGGATGTGTTGGTAGACAATGATGATGTAGGAAAGGTTGATTTAGTATTGGCACCAAAACCTCCTAATATACTATCTTTGCCTTTATTGGCATTAAAACCTGATGTGTTGAATGATAAAGGTTGAGGTGTAGTAGTAGAACCAGTTGCAGCTGTTGATACATTCGCGGTTTGTCCAAATCCGCCAATATTTGGTTTAAAACCAGAAAAGAAGTTTTGAGTAGATGCTGCAGTAGATGCTGCAGTGGGTGCTGCAGTTTCGGCAGGTTTGATTAGTCCTTGAAAAGCAGAAGTGCATAAAATTAAAATAAAATATTTTGATATTCAATAGTGAGTGACATTAGAAAGATTGTTTGTTTAAATATCCATAATAGTTTAATATTTAAAAAAAAGTATTACCGCTAAATGCAGATGGTGCATTAGTTGTAGTAGCAGTAGTGGTGGTGGGAACAATAGTTCCTGTTGTTGTGAAATTACCAAATGTACTTTTTTGTAGGGTGGAAAATCCACCTGCATTTCCTAAAGTAAATCCTGATGATCCAGTAGTTGCAGAGGTAGAATTAGCTACACTTGAAAATCCACCCCCACTGCCACCACCACTACCACCTCCTAAAGAAAATCCTGATGTATTGTTTGTAGCTGTAGTAGTAGTAGTTTTATTACTGGAAAAATTACTACCTCCAAAAGAAAATCCTGATGAACTAGTTGTAGGGGTAGAGCTAACATTTGAAATTTCTCCGCCACCTCCTAAGGTAAATAATCCCGATGAACCTGTAGTGGTGTTGGTAGGACCACCAACATTACTAGATAAGCTTCCACTCCCAAATGTACCAGTTTGAAAAGTAGATCCAAAGTTATTCGAAGCATTAACAGCAGGGAAGTTACTACCAGGAGTTGATCCGCCAAAACTTGTTAAACCAGTACCGGTAGAAGTTGGTTTAGTAGTAAGTTGAGAAGTGCTGGCACCAAATGATAATGCTGGGACATTGGTTGTAGTTGAGGTTGTGGTAGAGGCACCAGGAAAATTAAACCTTCCAAAACTGGTTGGTTTATCTGTAGCATTACTACTAGTTGTAGACGCATTACTAGACAATCCACTAGATACAAAAGCAAAAGGTGTAGCTGTTGTAGAAGTAGGGAAGCCACCAAATAATTGTTTATTTACATTTGTTGTCGTTGAAGTTGTTGAAGCTGGTCCAAAAATCGGCGGCTGAGAACTTGTAGTGGCAGGAGGATTATTTGTGTTGTTATTGTTATTATTGTTGTTGTTATTGTTATTAAAGCTCGCTATAATGATTAAAAGAGTAAAAATAGTAACGATTTAGAGGAAGAAAATGTAACAATAATTTAAAAAAAATTTTGTTAATACTACTAACACATTTTTCTAGACAGAAAATTTTTTTCTGAGAATAATTTTCACTGGTGTATTTTTTTAAATCACTGCGTCAAATGAATGATTTCTATCTGTTTCCACCACCATATTAAAATAGATTTTCTTATAAAGATGCCTTTTCATGTTCTAATTATTCTAAGTGATTTTGACGTCTATATAATAATATATATTTTATAATAAAATAATTGAAAGAAAATCATAGAACAGAAAATATAATTCAAGTTTGCAAATATGACAATAACCTTGATGGTGGTGATATTGATATCTACGAAGAGGCTCCACTCCTTCTGATATACATGTATGTGATTTCAATACATTGTAGTTTTTTTTATTTTCAAATTAAATAAACAAAACTCTGCCAACAATGATGTTCATTAATATTAATGATTTGTTGAATCATAATATTTATGAATGAATTAAGAAAAGGTTTGGGAAGTTTATATTTACAATGATAATTCCAATCTTGTATATCTTGGTCTTAGTTTAAGACAAAATATTATTATAACAAAAAAATTATTTGCATACACCCATTGAATTAAATAGATAAATGGATGAAAAATAATTATTTTGCATATTTGTTATGCTCCACCATACCACCCCAGCAATTGTCACAAAATGTTTATCTGTTGAAGGACCTGTTATTAAGGCATCCTGTCTGTAACTTGCCAATTCATCATCCTCAATTATCTCTTTTCTCACTCAATTCCTTTTTTTTCTTCTGAATGCAATAAAATTTCCAGAAGATAAATTTTTACTATGAAGAAATTGACTGAGCTGAGAGCATCATTAAAATCATAATTAAGCACCTTGTCTTTAAATCAACCATCATTAATTAATAAGTGCAATCTAACATTATACATTGCATTACATAAATCTACTTTGATAATATTCTGTTACTAAAACCTTTTCATAATCTATGCTATTTTCATAAGTTTTAAGATATTTGGATAACTAACTGACTAGTAAATCATCTATAAACAAATTTTGATGCACAGTTTAAAACCAACCCATTCTTCTCAACAAGGCTAAAGGAAATAGAACAATTCTGACTCATCATGAAACATTAGTTTTTTGGTCATTCATATTTTAACATTTAACCATTCTTGTTGAAGGCTTCTTCTTGGTTTTTTAAAATGTAGCATCATCATCTGAACCTTGAGTTGTCAAATCAATTGAACCTTCTGAAGCCAAGATATCTGATTCATCCAAAATGCACTATCCAGAATTTCAGCAATTGTTCTAAAATGCTAAAAATTAGTCACATGCAGATGGAACATCACATATAAATATGAAATATACTTTTTTTTCGGAAGTTAAGAGAAAATCCGGATTTTTAAAGTACTATTGCTATTTCACAACTTTGTTCGTCTTATTAAGTGATCTTTCTTTTTTTTTAAAAAGCCCAAAATATAATGATAATAAAGCAACTTGTGATAATTGCATCGAGGCAAGATATGGTTTCCATGTGTAGTAGTGACAAGAAAGAAATCATGAAGGAAAAAAGAAATTGATTAACCACACTGCAAACAGTTCAGGGTCAAATATCGAAAGATAAAATATTTATTACTATAAATGAAGCCTAGATTGATTTGTGAATGTCATAATGGCCGTAATTAAAAGCCGTAATGCCGTAATTAGGTCATTAAATGGTCATATAACTTCCAAAATATGTATGACCGAGTTGAACTAACTTTTGAGCCACACTTGTCGATTAATCGCAATGCTCATCAATTAACTTGTTTTACGAATTTGCTTATACTAAAAAGCTTTGGCGAATCTGTAAGCACGCTTTTATGGTACAATTTAACAACAAATAAAACATAGCCCTATTATAAAGCAATGTATGCTTTAGTAAAGTTCCTTATTTATTACTTTTACTTTTCTTGACTGATTAAATTTAGTCATACATTTACAAAATACTTTAACACAATGCAATAAAGTGATATGTGACAACGACATTGGTTAATAAATGTCAGCACTTTATATCTGGCCGAACAATCTTAACACCTTACGTTTACACAAACACTTAAAAAACAAACCTTTTACGCTTAACAAAACCAAAAAATTAAACCTTTGCTTTCTACCAAAACAAACAACCAAAACTGAATTACAAAACCTCAGAGTTCTACAGTATCTTAGCAAAAGTTTTGGACACCCCAAATACATTAATTATGCAAACACGTACATGATAAAAATATAAATAATTTTTATCAAATCGTAATAAAGTTTTCAAGAATATGTATGCAAAATTTCGTATTTTTGTAATGTCTATATAGAAGAAAAACAGTTAAAAAAAAACCAAAAGATTCGGCCAAAAATCCTCTGGAAATTATAGTTTCCCAAAAAAAAATTTTTTTCTCAAAAACTTACATAATAACCACGTCTAAAGTCCCAATTATCTGTTAAATTTAATTTTAGCAAAAATTTCAAAAACTTCAAAACAATTTTTTAAAATAAACCAAAAAACTTGTATAAAAAATATATGATGTAATTTTGATGTAATTTATCAGGAACTAATCTTTCACATATCAAGATCTTACAAAGGCAGTAGTACTATTTCATATATTTCTAAAACACTTAAATTCGCAAGTACAACT